GAGCAACGTCGAATCGATAACTCAAATAAGTTTATTGATCAGCTAATGTAATGCGATATTATTGGGAAAATATTTATAAAAAGATGTAGTTTGTTAGTGTTAAATATAGATACATTTTTATGTGATATATGAGTACAAAAATATCGTTCACTTCAATAAATTTTTTTTTTATAAAACTTAGTTTAATTTTATTTTTATATTAATATGGTTGTTTAAAGTTTAAGTCTTTTTTAAAGAAAAATTCATTTATTAATATTATATTTTTTTTTTGGTATCAAAAAACGAAATATAGCTTTCCAAGCAGCATATCAGTATTAAGAGATATGTCAATCATGTTTTATTTCATTTAATTAAGATATGATAATATTGCATTATATTATTGCAAATAGTGATAATAGATTTTAATAATTGATTTATCTTGAGCAAAGTACTGATTTTGTTGAAATTAGACTTAATGAGTCTAAAACTAATTATAAAGAATTTTTTTTCATAATGTTACAAACCGAATCTAACTTTGATCTATCGAATCAAAACTCTAATTTTTTTTTGTACTAACTGATCCAATATTTTGGCTTCATAGTTTTAAGCGTTCATTTATCAGACTGTTCATCGGTGAAGGCGAAAGACCTATAAAATTATCTAAATTCGGTGGAATGGATTTAGTCTCTATTCTTCTATACTAGTATTCTTGAGAGGAATGTGATAGCAAAACGTCGGAAAATTGCTAATTGAGATACATGGAAGTTAGCTAATGGCCTGCCCTTGCAACCAACTAAACCAACTAAAAAATAAACTCAGTTTTTTTAGTCAATATGTACAATGTTGAAACTTTCTTAACAATAGTTCCACAAATCAATATGCCATTGAAAGGTTGGAACAAAGAGCACTAACATCTGCATATTCGTTAAAATACAATATGAAAAATTCATATTCTAACTGCTCTTGCTATGCGGTTATCAGGAGACAAGCCTAGACCCTTTAAGAACTCAAGAATGCTGATAACTGCAGATTATCTGAATGTTTGAGTGGAAAATTGACCTATCTCTGAAATCAATTTTAAAGGAAAAAAAATTTTCGATTTTATCTACTCTTGCTGTATAGTTATCAGAAAACTCATTAAAGTCAATAGAAATTTAGCAAAGGACTCCACACTTTGCTAATCAATAAAAACACGAATATTTAACAACAACAAACAAACTTTATTTAAATTTTCTAAGAGCGAAATTGGAAACGTTTTCCTTCAACGAATTCATAAACATTTAAATTACAATTAACTCATAGTCTACTGCGTCGCCACAGTACCCCCTCCTAGCGACGTTTGGGCGACGGCGCGCTACACATGAAGAGAAGTTAATACTGTTACTCGCGGTAGTCACACAGCTTCGCTGGGAAATGCACTGCGAAATGAATCGACCGACGGTTTAGGAACCCTCTTCTCGAATGCTTGTTTCCGCTCATGACTGACTACGGACGATGGCGAAAACTGCTTGCCGACGTCTTCATCGTTAGTAAAATAAGCTGGTAAATAAGCTAGTAAATTAACCTGTCTAATGCGACGGTGCACCTGCTCCTTCTTCTGTTAATAACGAAATTTTTCTGAACTCGTTGCAGCACTTGAAACGGTCCTTCATAAGGCTGTTCCAATGGAGCTCTCACCCGATCGATACGCACGAATACAAACTTGCTGGTTTGCAGATCGCTTGGAACATATACTGGATGATGTCCATGTCTGCTGCCGTTGATTGTCTTCAGCTGAGCCAATGCTTTACGAAGTGTTGAAACGAAATCGGTTTCACCTGGTTTTTGGCATTAATGTAACAATAGCTGTCCAGGAACACGTAACAGGTTTCCATACAACATTTCAGCGGAACTGACGCCTAGATCTTCCTTTGGGGTAGTCCGCAACCCTAGCAGAATTAATGGGAGAGTGCGCGTCCAGTCATTAGAACTATGGCAACGCAAAGCAGCTTTCAACGTCCTATGCATACGTTCAACCATCCCATTCGCTTGGGGGTGATATGCTGTCGTGTGAATGTGCTTGATACCCAATAATCTGGACAACTCTCGGAAGATCGTTGATTCAAACTGACGTCCTAAATCTGTGGTGATAATGAGAGGAACGCCGTAATGTGCTACCCATCCATAAAACTGAATATATTTTAAATTGAATTTTACATTTAAATTTCAATTAACTCATAGTCTACTGCGTCGCCACAGAAACAATGTTGACAGGTTTCTCAGTTTATATATATGCTTAGACTAATAAATGGTTTCTTAAATAGGCATGCTCGGTAAACTACCACCATTCAAGAATGGGATTTAAGGATGCAGATTCTCTTAAATTTAGAATAAAAAATTCACCTGTCTGTCTTATCAGCTCCAACCATGCCATATGTCACTGAAAGAAATGAAGATCGTAGCGTTGACCTAAAACATTTGTTGGGTTTTTTGGCTTTGTCGTGAATTTGTCTGGACACTTTCTATATTCATAACGTATTTGATCCCATGGTTCGCGCTATACTCAACTTTAGAAATGAAAGTAGTTTCCAAAGCTCTACTAAGAAATAAACAATATAAATTATTATATCACAATAATTAATATTTTCTATTAGTTATTCCTATTAGAATTCAAGAAGTATTATATTTTGGCATTAATATTTTATTCCTTTGTAGCAGAGCTATCCAAAGCACGGCCAGAAGGTCACATTCGGCCCATTACTAATGTTTGTGCGGCTCGCGACATGTTTTTAATCTATCAAAATAACTCAAATTTTCTTTTGTTGTACTTGTATAACTATAATATTTTATTTTTATGGCATACCAAATGAATGAAGTTAAATTAATATATTAATACAAGTAAATTTAACATTATAACCGAATTTTTATTGTTTCTGCGGCCCTCCAATCTATACAGTGATTCGTATTGGCTGGCGAGCGCTTCTGGTCTGGACAGCCCTGCTCTATTTTATGAAATACTGCGATTTTTTATACAAAAATGTATATTTTGCTTTACTCACACTTTATGTGACAGAAAATTTAGAATTATCATTCGTAGTCTTCTCTAAGTATCATCCAGCTTCTTATGTCTTATATCTTTATGTAGGTATATCGCTTTTTAGATAAGCCGTGTTTCACTTTTTAACTGACTGCTGTCGTACACTGACATTTCCAGTTATTAAAATTAGGCCATCGTTGCGAAATTGTTTTACTGTTTTTTAAATTTGTGTAATACAGTTAATTTGCTACTTCAGTTGATTACACGATTACACAGTTTCAGCAGATCGCTGCCGAATCAATTTAATTGAATTGTAATGAATTTTTTATTACACACAGTAATTTTCAATTAATTAAGATTAAATTAAATAACAAATTTAATGCACTTTTTCATTTAAAAAAATGAAGGTATTTTTTATATGTAGGTATATAATTTATTTAAAAAATAAATTCGATATATAGGCTGAATGTATTAAAACTAAAATTCGGTTTGAACGAGTTTTTAAGAGTTCAAATGCATAATTAAGTTTATGTATCTGAACTTTTTTTATTTATTTATTTATTTTATAGTGAAATTGTTTAATAGCGGATTGAACGGCTTCGAAGCTGATAGCCTGAATGGGTTTAAAGCTGATTGCCTGAATGGGTTTAAAACTGATATTTTGAATGGCTTTAAAGCCAACAGCCACATAAACACCACACGACAAACTTGTTGCTTTTACGGGTTATGGACTGCATTTTAATTTTTTTTATTTTTTTTCATTATTGCATAGTAAATTTGATAAAGATAAAAGTGACTTTTAAGGCTTAAGATACAATATTTAAATTTTTATATAATATGTTCAGCAAGTGCATTAGTACACACTTTTACGATTTTATTTTAAAGAGTTGTGAATAAATATTCAATATTAAATTTAATTTTGAGTCACATATAAAAATGGCATAAATTTTTAAAGAAACATAAAATATTGAAGAAAGGAAATATACACAGAAGCAAAACGTAACTGAACTCAACTATTTATATTGTTAGTATTGAGTTAAATAAAAAAAAATCGTTCACTTAAGTTTTAAAGATGAAAATGACTTTAGGCTGCAGGGAGAAAAGTTGCTTAAATGATTTGAAACATTAAAAAAATTATGATTTGCATAAGTGTTGAAAATTTATATTTGAAGATTGAAGCATCTCCTGTTTTTCTGAACTACTGCGAACAAAAACCTATAAACCTTAAAGCAAATATTTTTCATGTTTAACTGGAAAAACTCAAAAAAAAACTTATAATTGTGTAGTTATACGAAAATGCATTTCATTTTGGCATATTTGCTTATTTTAATTTTGCGAAAATTTCACTTGAATGTAACGCAGCTGAGGAGATTTCAAATGGTTGTAATGACAAAAAAAAAAAATGAATAAATTTGCAACAGAAGAAATAAAAAATACAACAATTAATTGAAACAAAATAAAAACAAAAATTACAATTCATTACAAAGTAAAAGTAGTTTGTCATTTTGCCAATTTAACTGAAATTTTTTATCACTAACAAAAAGTTTTGATTTTCCTTTTAAATAAAAAATAGAAAAAATCATATAAAAAATCTGTAGATATAGTAAAATAAGTGCAACTTAAATTGAGTTTATAAATGAACTGCAAAGAGCCAATAGCTCTCCGATAGACTGTTAACGAACAAAAAGACAAATAATAAAATATACAATATATATTATTAGACAATATATACGGTTTTTAGCTGTCATTGCGAATTTACAGTATGTTTACACTATCGGTTTTAAATATGTAGCTTTATTCATACAGAATCTATACAGAAATGTGCTCTTGAGAATTAATCTCTCTAAAAATAAGAGTACATTTACACTAACACATTTAACTCGATAAATATGTAACAATAAGTATAATTGTATATACAAAATCCCTCCGAAGAATAGAAGTCGAAATTCCTCAAGGATCGTTGCTCTCCCCTTTGTTGTACAACATCTTTACGTCGAACATCCCAATGCTAAGTCCCTCGATACTAGCATTATACACAGATGACACGTATATGTTATTTTCCGATAAACATGCCAGAAATATAACCAACACGTTGCAGGAGCATATTATTCACATCCTGGAATTCTTTCAGAAATAGAAAATAAAAATGAACAACGGAAAAACTAAGTCCCTGTTTATAATTCATAAATACAGGCAGCATCTACCGAGAGTGAGAGTTAGTGACATTGGGATAAATTCAGAGAACAGCATCAAATACCTGGGAAACACGTTTGATAAGCGGTTCACTTGACACAAGCATATATAAGAAAAAAATGTTAGTTGTACGAAAACACTGCAGTGCTTAAGACGACTTTTTAAACACAATAATCTTAGCGCTAAGAACAGAAAGTTAATCTACATCCTGATAATCAGGCAGGCACTTCTCTACGGGTGTGTGGCGTATAGTAAACCTGTGAACTCTACTATGCAGAAACTGCAAGTTGCTCAAAGGCAGATTCTCTGAAGACAAAATCGATAAGCTACAATCACTGGTTACTCTATTGCAAACAAGTAGACTCTAGTAGTCAGCTACTGTTACTCGCTACTGTGGTCAACGACTGTAGTTGGCTACTGTGACTATCGTATGTTAGGCATTGTGTTATGTTGAAGAAATATGGCAGGAACAGAGTATTGTCTTTTATAATTACTATATGGATATTAAAAAATGCTCTCTAAAATTTATTTCAAGATTTGTCAGTCTAATATTGGACAGTTCAAGATTGAACAGTTTAAGATTGGATAGTTCAAGATTTCCAAAAGATTGGACTGTTTCCAAAATATTGTTCTGTTATTCTGTGTGGATACCTATAAGATTAAGTTATGTCGGTCTGATGTGTTCAGTTGTTAGCAACAGTCGTAACGTCCCTAAAATTAGTGTAAAGCAGATGTCACACTAATTGATTCAGTTGCCCATTGCAAGCAATTTACCGCTTACTTGTTAAGTTGTTGTATTTTCATCAGTACTTGCAACGCGTAATCAGTAGCAACAACTTGTTGCAATGTGAAAGCTTGCAATTTTTTTTTTCTTATGTATTTTCTTTACTGACGTATGCAGAAAAAGCAGAAAAAACAAGCAAAAATTGAAATATAAAAAATTCCACTCGCACTTTTACTTGCCAATTGCTTGTATCTTTTTTATGCTTTAAACAATTTGCTTATAGATACATATTTCAACATATGTATATAAGCATCATCAGTACATAAGATGTATATAAACAAGTAGTCTCCTGTTTATGCTGTTGCCACACATTGTTTCATATGATTGCTGCAACAAAAATTAAAAATCTTGCATACACACGCGTTGATTTGCGATATATCTCAACGAAAATGCAATTAAAAAAAATAATCATAATAATTTAACTGATAATTGTCGTTGGTAAGTTAAATTAAAAAATATTTCAACGAAAACAAGACATCATAAAAATTTATGAGCAGAAAAATATAAGCGCTCAGAAGTCTGAAGCCATAGACACAGATATAGACAGAGAAAAACAGATTTAGAGAGAGAGGCAAAGAGATAAATTATAAAAACAATTAATCTACAAAAAGTGAAAGAAAAGTATTTTGATTGATTTTATAATGACAAGATAAATAAATTAAATAGTTGATTGCTTTATGCAATAGTAGTTTCGGCAACATTTTCAGTTAGTCCGTATTATATTATAAAGTAAAATTGCTTCCGAAGTGAAAATCGTTCTCATATGTGTTAATAGTTACGGTAGTATAAGCAAAATTTATTAATTTAAGACATAATTACAATTAAAAAAAAATTGTAAAGATAATTATAAAGTTGATAAGCGAAGAATTTTCAGTTATATCTGTTCCGTGTTGTCAGAATTCGCTGATTGTTTTAATCAACTCTTGATATGACCAACATAATATACTGTTGAAGTTTGCATACAATAGTTCTAATTAGTTAAGAATATAATGCTGTGCTCTTTTCTTAGTTTTATTTATTTATAGCGTGTCTAACATTAGCTATCGCTTGTCTCTGATTATTATTATTATCTCTGCATAAGAGAGAAGTGGGAACATTTCGTGTGAAATTTCTGTCACCAGTAGAAATCAAGAGCTCTTCTTCAGATTTAGTTTTGGAATTCGATACAGTTCGGTACTCTTTTGGCCACAACACCAGCTATTTTGCAAATTCACGTCATTAGTTTAAAAAAAAAAAGAAATAGTTGAGCATATTCTCTTGGTCCTCTTTCTTGGTCCTCCAGGACCACAAGTTTCGAAGGTGTATTTGGAAATCTCTGCGTTTTTCATAGTACCTACAATAGGCAAATAGGCCTATTAATCCTTCAGATCGCCGATATAATCTAACCTAACTTGAACCTAACCTAGTCCAAGTTTTCTTAGAAATATAAATGTATATACTCTATTTTTCAATCTGATGTTACGGCTTTCCAATCCTGTAAGCTTATTTTATAATAATTGTCTACTACATAATCAATGTATCCTTATCTGGTAAACTTATCGTTAAAATCTGTATTTTTTTAAGTCGTCTCAGAACCATTAATGCATGCTTTTATGCTTGACTTATAAAAAATTATTTTAAGTTTTGAGCTGTTTAGGAATTAAATATATAATAAAATCTTTAAATGTTACTTAATTACAAATTCAGGGAACCTAACATAATATATTGGGTTCATAATATTATTTTAACCACTGTATAAATAATTACAGTGACTTAATTATATTATTTATCAAAATTTGTTTATATTACTTTTAATATATAAACAATAATATATCCACTGGAATTATATCTCTACTTGTGTCGAGATACAACACTGTGTGTCACGTCTTCTGATTGTCACTGTCAAGCAGCAAGCGAAGCCTATTACTTTCTATATTTTCCTGCAAGCTGAAAAAGTAATATTTAACACTAAGTAATATTTATAAACTTCTTAATAGTGTAATATATTACAATACAATATTTTATACCAAAAAAATCTGTTATTTAAATAGCAATAATTATGCTACTTGCACTGATGAACTTTTAATAGTTCCCAGTTTATCTAACTACCTATTTTCAATCTACAAAACTTTATTCGTGTGATGATTTAATTATGATTTTTTATACCTTTTGCTACTGTAATTGTAGCTAACGCTTTCTTCAAACTAGTTTAAGATGATAGAAAGTGTTTTGGAGTTTTGGAGATGATATTAAATTTAAGTGGTGTTAGCAAAACGCTAATTACTTTATAAACGTCTAATAGTATTCACACTGTCGATACTATTGACCTATAAAGAACATACATTTAAAAGTATCAATACTTCCAGACGTCGTGCTATTTTCCTCTAAGTTTTTCTCGTAATTTGAGTCCTCTATGCAAATGTCCTAGCGCACCCATTGTAGTTAACAATTTAATTTAAACTTAAATGTATGTTATTTTTTATTTGTGAATATTTAATAATCTGTTTGTATGTAGAAAAGGAAATGGAATCATTAAAAACTCATAAAATATAACAAATATGCATTTATTTCGTAACTGAGCATTAAAGCATATAAGTATATATTTTAGGAAATAATTTTCTTATTTTACGACAAATGCAAATATGCCGTTTACAGACAGAAATGTCGAAATTCGTAAAGGAAAACTTGTCTGAAACAAGAAATTTTTATATTTATTATATTGACAGCATACCTTAAGTAGCTGGCAACAGCAACATTAACAAAGACAGCAACAACAGCAGCAGAAACAGCAACAGGCA